ATGTGTTTATGGTGAGTGCTGTGAATTGTGCAAGACTGTTGAATCACAGATCTGTACCTCTGAAACAAATAATACATTAGATGTTAAAAAAAAAAAAGAAGATAACAGGAAGGGAAAAATAAAGAGGGCGGAAATTGGAGGGGGAGACGAACCACGAGAGACTATGGACTCTGAAAAACAAACTGAGGGTTCTAGAGGGGAGGGGTGGGGGGATGGGTTAGCCTGGGGTTGGGTATTGAGGAGGGCACATTCTGCATGGAGCACTGGCTGTTATACGCAAACAATGAATCATGGAACACTACATCAAAAACTAATGATGTAATGTATGGGGATTAACATAACATAATAATAATAAAAAAAAAAAGGCCAGACAGAGTTTCAAGAGGATGAGGTTCAGACCTAGCAAATCCTTCCAGGAAAGAGTCACTAGAGAATTGTTCATTTCCTCCGAATGTCACCCCTCCTGCCATGATTCCGTCCGGTTGGCTCTGTTGACTGGACATCACGACGTTCTGACGCAGAGCCGGGCAAGGACAGCATGGGTGAGGCAGTGATGGGCCTGCGAGCAGATCCTAAAGCTTTCCCAGCACCTGGACCACATACACGTTTGCATATGTTCTCGGTGCCTCTTCCTCACGAGCCCGGGCCCTTTGCTGGGGGTATGTGGTCTCCACCTTATCTCACTGCCCTGTGGTCAGGCCTTTCCCCGCGTCCCTCGGCCCCGGTGTGCCAAGCTCCAGGCCACTCAGCACCTCTGGCCCTTCACCCTCCCGCATTGCACAAATTCCCAATCACTTCTTCATAGTTCACTTTCTCCAAAAGTATTTTCAAATCCTGCCGGCCTCAGTCCAGGTTGTGTGCTAAGTCCGGGTTCATTCCATCACACCCAGGACGATCCTCTGCTTCTTTAGCACAGGGGCCCTGGCACACGCTGTGGGGGTTCAAAGCCCTGCCCTCCCACTGTGTAACCTTGGGCCCGTCTCTTAACCCGTCCAAGGCCGAGAGCGCCGAATCCACACGGTATTACAGGAGTTGATGCATTTAAAGCACTGAGCAAAGTAACGGAGAGAAGGCACTCCACAACCGCTCTCCACTTCTGTGAATATCTGCATTATCGCTGCCATCATATGGATTTACGAGGCCCCATGTCTTGTCCACCTTACCCACCAAAATGTAAACTCTGTAGGGGCAGAAACTAAATCTATCGTGTTGAAAAACAAAAGTAAAAAATCAGCACAGGGGCTGGAATATAGTAAGACTACAATGCAAATTTGTTAAATATTCATTTCTCATGTACTGCGAATAAAAAAGAATTCACCCAAATGACCAAGACCCCCACCACCCTGCCAGCCTAAAACTCAGGGTGTGCATGCACATGTTTACGCTGCCCATTTCCCTCCAGACATGGGATGAAAAACCCAACCTCAGCGTATCCTGAATCAGCGATGACAGAGCCTCTCCATACCTTCGCCTCCTGACCTTGCAGGTGGAGCCTCCATTTTCAAAGGGAGCAAGTCTCCAGCCCCACAGCCTCCCGCCTCCTGGGCCCCCACAGCTGGCCGACGTCAATGAGATGGGGGGAGGGGAGGGATGACGGCAGCCAGGCGACGCTGTGATGAAAAATCGAGATGATCAACATACCTGACGCTAAGTTACCCTTTAAACGCCCCCACTGGGAAGGCCCCCTCCCACTCCCGGAAGGCACCAAACTCGCGCTGAGCTGCGGGAGGGGCCCTGACATAAGAACAGGGGTGGGGGGGGGACCAGAACGGCAATTTGGGTATTTAAATCCCAACATTTGTATTAATCGTGTGTTAATGGATTTTTAATGATGATCATCTGTCACACCATGTGTCTTATGAAAGGCAACCCCAGCTTCTCCTTCCTTCTGGAGAGCTCAGTTTTGAATTTAACCGTGACAAGTTGCACCGTCAGGGAGATTTCTGCAGTGCCAAACAGCTCTTTGATCCCTCAGATTTTCTGCATCATCAGAAATTTCCCCTATTTCTCATTTCCCAGGGCAGCTGAGGGAAAATACAAATGGTGCAAAGCAGGAGGGCAGCCTGCGATGAGCCGGGAGAGCGGGACACGGGGACACCAGGCGGGCAGGAAGGGGGAGGGGACAGAACAGCCCAGGGTCACTTTGACCCACCGACGGGGGGTGATGGCATTGGCTGAATGGCGTCGGGTCTGTGTACGGGAGACCCAGAAGTTGTGTCTCTGAGGCCTGGATCGCCCGTCATCACCCGGCCATCGCACGTGGCCAGGACCTTCCTTCATGGGTGGAGGCGTGCAGGCTCCAGGAGCCTCGTGAGTCACTTGGGCCTGGGTCTGGGCATGACCTACAGCTTCGGCCTGGTTTTCCCAATTAAATCCCAAAGCACACGCCCCCGAGGAGGCAGAGAGTGTTCTTCCACCAAGCCCCGACCTCCGAGACACGGTGCTGTCCGCATTTCCCTACGTATGGAAGCTGTTCTTTTTTTTTTTTTTTTAGATTTTATTTATTTATTTGACAGAGAGAGACACAGCGCGAGAGGGAACACAAGCAGGGGGAGTGGGAGAGGGAGAAGCAGGCTTCCCGCGGAGCAGGGAGCCCGATACGGGGCTCGATCCCAGGACCCTGGGACCATGACCGGAGCCATAAGGCAGACGTTTAACGGCTGAGCCACCCAGACGCCCCTCAAAGTAGCTGTTCTTAAGTCTATCTCCATTCTCGATCTGGGCCTTAGTCTGTCATCCGACCCACTCTGTCTCCCTTTCCTCCTCTGTCTTTTAGTCAAAGAAAACACAGTGTCCTTGTTAAGAAAGTCTGCGGAGGACCGTCCCGCATTCCAGGCGCCCAAGGTCTGTGCAGCAGCTCCCGGCTGGGGTGACCCGCTGTTTCTGAGCCACTCACGCAGGTGCTTACAAGTACGCTTGCCATAAAGATTGCCATAAAGTAAGCAGTAGAACCGTCCCCGTCTTATAGATGAGGGAGGAGAGGCTTAGGGGTGTTCTGTGAAGGGTGGTGCAAACAGGGTCTGATCTCCAGCCTGCGAAGCCAAGCCCGGCCCCTAAAGGTGATACAACGCTGCCGCCCGGTGGCAATGTGCAGAACTACACCTCTAACCAACACGAGCCGGCCGCTAAGAGGAGGTAGGAGACACACAGGCATGTCTTGCTTCCCGAGGCTCCTATTTTGGGTTGTTTGTCCAGCCCCCCTACAGCCTGGCTTCCCTACTCAGTCTATCTGGTCCTTCCTTAAGAAGGCATTTCCTAGTTTCATCCCTTTGCTGTCAGGACAGCTGAAATGCAACACAAAACACAGGGCCACTCAGCTTGGTCCTTTACATTCTGTAGCAGCCCAAACAAAGGCATTTCCCTGATCCCCCAAATCCCAAGATCCCAACTGCGACTGTCTGGAGGCTGCAGAGCACCAGCCGGGTGCCGGAGCCCCCAACTGCAGCCCTCAGTCTGGCTGCTGCCCGGAGAGCAGAAGGAGGCTGCCAGCTCAAGGGTGCATCTTCCCTGGAGACAGCCTGCAGCCAGGGGTCCAGCAGAGCCTCACGGTCCCAGCCCCCTCACTTGGCTGGGGACAATTGCAGGCCACCCCTGGGACCTCAGGAAATTGGCTGAGGCCCCCCGCTCCCATGTCCACCTTCACCCTCTGCTGGGTCTGGCCCTCATCTCCTTTCAGGGGCTCCCGAGCCCCCCCCCATAGGCCAACCTCGTCTGCTTCTTGGGGGGCAACCTAAGACAACACTCAGCCCCCACATCAGGCGTGTTTACAAATGCTGCCCCTTTAAATGGAGCCCAGGAGCGCCGCGGGAAGGTGTTTGCCAGAAGAGCACCTGCCAGAAGGTAGAAAGAACTCACCAACTGGAAGTCAGGCAAGGAGCCCTTCCCCTGCGCCCCCAGGAGGGTGCCGTGGCCTCGCACTTCAGTACTTTGTCGTGGCCGTTGTGCCCCTTGAATTCTCTGACCTCCAGTTATTTCATATCCAAATAAAAAGCTTTCCTTAAGGATGCTCTATGAGCACTCTAGGCCGAGTCCAAAACTTTACCTTAAATCTTCATAGTGAAAACTCTCATTGTCTTTCCTACAAGGTCATGTGGAGGTTACTTGTTCGTTTTGTTTTTGCTGTGAGCTGAGTATCTGGTGTTCTCAGGTATGACGAGGCTGGGGTCTTCCCACCAGTGTAAGCATCTGACACGGGTAAGTCATGGTGCGCCCCGAGGAAACCCCTGGGTCGGTGAGTTTTGATCCCCTTTTGGGGTAAAGCTGTCTCTTCAGTGGATGCTGAAAATGTTCATTAGGAAATGCTCTGCTTAACGATGTTAGCGTGAAGGGTCTCGGCCTCAAAGACTCAAGCTCTTCTGGAGTAACCTCCCATGACCTTCCTTCCCTCTAGTTTCTTCTTCAAGTGCAAACACAGGCTGTGAGAGTAGGAAAGATGAATCAGCTGAGTGAGAAATCTCAGTCCAAAGCTTTATAGAATTCAGCTCATGAGGTCCTCCTCTGCTCTAGGAGGGCAGAAAAAAAAAAAATCAGGAAAAGATAAAAGTAATGTAAATAATACAGTTGAAAAAATGTGTAAGTTTTCCACGTTCAGCCATTGTTGGTCTCACAAGCATGGAGGACAGGACTTCAGTGGGATTTTTACTGTGTGTGGCTTTAGGACCCTGAAAAGAGCGGGGCAGAGTCAGCACACAGTGACACACTTGTCACACGGGCCTGGGGGGACCCTGTCTTTCCATTCTCATATTATAGGCTGGGCTCCTTCCCACTGTTCCCTCTGGCGGACGGGAGGAGGAGCTCTCGTGACCCCTGAAGACTCACAGTCACAAGACCACCCTTTATGCTTGAGGGCAGACAGCATGTCGCTGAGGACAATGAAGAAAAGGATATACATACAAGATACCAGCATCACATGCATCCTCATTATCTCTTTCCAGGGAGCAATCTGGAGGAAAGCCTGAATCAAGGCAATCAGCTCAAGGATTTCCTCTCCAGATACCTTTTTCATTTGGAAAGTAATTTAGGAGGGCTGCAATGTCAAGGACGTGTTCACAAATGGTGTGTGTGTGTGTGTGTGTGTGTTCATCAAAATACCTGTGATTTCCAAACCAAAAGAAGTGGCTTTGTCCCTCTCCATTGAAAAGTTCGTCTTAAAGAGGTGGACATTTAAACCCATCTCATCTATAAAAATGTTCTGTCACGAAGGGGGCTTCGAGGACACCTGAGACACGGAACAGAAAGCGAATGGTGTCCTTGGAGTTTTGCAAGGTAACAGGGGCAGAGGAAGCAAAGAAGGAGCTTTGTCCAAAGACACACACGCCCTCAAGAGAGCCCTGTTTCTAATTCACAAACCAAGGAAGGAAATGATCGACGTGAAATCCTTCGATTAGTGTGGCTCTTACAGTGAATTAAAGATTCTCGAAAAGGGAGAGAAAATGGTCATAACCTGGCAATGCACATACATTCAGTATGTAACTTAGGAAGCACACGTGTGAACTCAGACTTACATAAGTGGCTATTCATCCTAACCCAAGCTGAACAGTTAAAAAAGAAAACATTACCTGCAGAAGTAAGAGTCCAGCCACCAAAATGTCATTGAAGAGGAACGTGAAACAGGGACCAATGTACCATGTGGCGTTATCTGAAAACAGTCCGTTGCTACCTACCATACACGAGATGACCTATGTTCCGGGCATGTATCTGCCGCAAGCGTTTGACAGCACAGAACAGCCTCCGTCCTAACTGGGCAGAAGTTAAACTCCACCAGCACGCTCCACCACTACACAGGTTAGGGACTCCGACAGCCACACAGCATCAGATGGGAACAGGCTGACGTTCTCTTCCGGGGGAGGGGAGCACGTGGGGGCCGCGGACACAGACAGCCCATGTCGGGAAGCTGAGAGGGCGAGGGAGCATCCTCATGCCATTTCGGGGATTCTCCAGGCCCAACCACAACCCTACGGATGGAAACAATTCTGCTGTCCATGTTCAGCTAGAGAAACAAAGGTGCGAAGAGGATAGGTTACCTGCCCAAGGTCACAAAAACACAGTAGAGGAGTCAGAATTTGATCCCAGGTAGTTTTTCTCCAGAGCCTAAAATCTTAACCAAATGCCAATCTGTTTCTGCATAAATTAAATATTGCAGAGATGCACACACACACACACACACACACACACTCACACCCTTCCATGACATTTACAAATGGAAAAATGTATCGGTGGCAGCTTGCATAATTCCACAAGGCACAGTGGGTTCCTTCAGCTCTCCTCCCTGGCTCTAGAATATTCAAAGGCATCTGAATTTCCTGCGGGTCAGTGGAGTGATGTAGTCAGGCACGTTAGATTTCTGGGGGAAAAATGGATTTAATCTTTGCAACAGATAACCTAGGAAAAAAATAAATTCATGATACCGATTAGTGAACCTGCAGGTGCTTTGAAACGTGCACTTCTAGAGTTTTGATTTGTGGATAGAATTCAGCCTGGAAGAACAATATGTGGAGGTGTGTCACAGGATTCTGTCGTGATCCAGCTGTTGATCATTCACTCAGAGCCACAGAGAACCCTGGGCTGGTGTCTTGAAAACCCAGAGACGGAAGGGGAAGCTTGCAGATGTCGGTCAGCACAATAGATATCTCAGATAACCTAAAAGGACCGGAAAAAAAATGCACCAAAAATTGGCAGAATTAATTTTCATCAAGTTATGGAACAGAGAAAACACGAAATGTGTCAGTGCATATTTGACCAGGAAGAACTGTGTTGATAGCACTTTGCATATTTCCATACGAAATAAAAAGGAAACGATACACATAAATCCGTTTCAAGTCAATTGAAAACTGAAGTGAGAAAGACAAAATCATAACACTTTTAGGTGAAAACATAAAACAACAGCTTCATGGCTGTGAAGCTCTAAAGGATCCAGAATGAAAACCATGGGGGAAAAAAGTTGATAAATTATATTACATTAAAATTGAGACTGTCTGTTAATTAAAATGTATCAGAGAAAGTGTAAAGAACGTGCCAGAACCTGGGAGAAGGCGTGTGCATGCCCACAACTGATAAAGGATCTGTGTGCAGAACACGCCAAGCAGTAAATCTGCAAGAAGGAGGCAAAGTGCCACAGTAGACAGATGAGCAACGGTCGTGGGCGACACTTAGCATGGAGGAAAACACAGCTGCAGGACGAACACGGAAGAAGCTGCTTAACCTCATCACAGGACATCAAGGAAAGGAACGCGGAGACCCCAGTGAGACGGTGTTTCTCCATCCACAGGGAAGAACAACGCTGGTGAGCATGCGGCCAGACAGAACATCTTACCACTGCAGGTGGAGGTGTGGGAGGCATCCGTGTGTGGAGCATAACGTGGCATTATCTAGTACACTGGGGTTTTTTTTCCAGTTTTATTGAGATACAATTGACGTGTTTATAAGTCTAATGCGTATGACATAATGATTCAATATCTGTATATATTGTGAAAGGATCACCACAATAAATCTAGTTAACGTCCACCAATATGCGTAGTTACAATTCTTTTCCTTGTGATGAGAACTTTTAAGATCTACTCTCTTAGCAACTTTCAAATATATAATACAGTATTGTTAACTGTAGTCACCATGCTGGACATCACATCCCCAGAATGTTTTTATCTTCTAAGTTTGTACCTTTTGACCACCTTCACCCGAGTCCCCCAGCCCTGACTCCCCATGCTGGCAACCACAAATCTGACCTCGGTTGCTATGGGTTTGGCTTTGTTCTGATTCTACTTGTAAGTGAGGTCATATAGTATTTGTCTTTCTTTAACTTAATTCACTTAGCATAACGCTCTCCAGGTACATCCTCAAAGAGTAGAATGCCCTTCTTTTTGATGGCTGAATAATATTCCATTGCAGATACACCACATCTTCTTTGTCCATTCATCTACTGACGGACACTTGGGTTGTTCTCATGTCTTAGCTACTGTGAATAATGCTGCAATAAACACAAGGGTGCACACACCTGTTCAGGACAGTGATTTCATTTCCTTCAGATTTATACCCAGAAGTAGAATCACTGGATCAGACGTGGTTCTATTTTTAATTTTTTGAGGAACCTCCATACTGGAGAATAGTATGTGCCAGTCTACCTTCCCACCAACAGTGCACTTAGGCTCCCTTTCCTCCACATCCTTGACAACACCTGTTATTTCTTGTCTTTTTGATGACGATCATTCTAACAGGTGTGAGGTGATATCTCACCATGGTTTTAATTTGCATTTTCCTAATAATTACTGATGTTGAGCATCTTTTCATATACCTGTTGGCTATCTGAATATCTTTTCAGGAAAAGTATCAATTCAGGTTCTTTGCCCATTTTGAAATTGGAGTGTTTGCTTTTTTGCTATTGAGTTGTATGAGCTTCTTATTTATTTTGGATATTAACCCTTATCAGATGTGTGGTTTACAAATATACACTGCTTATTAATTTTAAAGATACACCTATCCTATGACACAGCACTCCAAGTCCTAGAGGATTTTTAGAAGCAGTTTATTAAAGCAAAAAAAAAATAGTAACCAACTGTCAAATGGACAAATAAATTGTGGTATATTCATAGATTTGTGTAGTGGAATATTACACAACTTTGAATTGTGACAACAGTCACAATAATAACATGAATGAATCTTAGTGAGTTGCAGAAAAATATACATATGATTCCATTTATTTAACATATAAAAATGAACAACTTAAATAATATATTGTTATTGATACAAAACTTGAAAGAAAATCAGAGGGATAAAGACCCACAAAATTCAGGATAATAGTTATTTCGGGGGGGGGCAGGAAGTGGGTGGGACTGGAGGGCAGCTGGGGAGTCTCCAAAATAACAGGAATAGTATATTTTATAAATCAGGTGACAGGCACGAAGATATTTGTTGTGCTGTGTTATACTGTTTGCATCTTAAACAGGTGCTCTGTGTATCTATGCTGTATTTAATAATGTTGAAGAATCAAATGTTCTCAATGATTTTTTTAAGTATTGGCAGCTTGGCAGACCATAAAACTCTTCTGCAACTATTTCTAAAGATTTTCATTTTTACAAATCATTTCTCCAAATTAAGGATTTTGTTCTACCTTTTTGTTTCATATGTTCAATTTATTTTCAGCCAGTTATTCTTGTTCTAGCCTGTTTATGCTAGAAAAAAAAAAGTAAAACAACCTGAATATAAAAAAATTATTTTATTATTTCTTTCATTAAGCTCATGCCTTTTTCTTTTTGTTGTTGTTACAAAAGCAATTAAAATCATGACTGAAAATCAGAAAATGTAGCCAAACAAATGTAGAAAAGAGCCAACACTCATAACCCACCATCCAGAGAGACAAGCACTCTGACCCTTCTGTGAAGCCTTTTGGACCATTTTCCTCACTGGCTACGAGTCAGTGTAGTTATGGGAAGAGTGGTGTTCTGTTACACAGGTGTTATAATCTAACGTAATTCAATCTAATTCGAAGTGCACACAACTCTGCATTGCCCTCTCTCTTTTCCCTCCACACCCTAAGGGACTGCATCCTCTCCCCAGGGTGGGACACGGTAGAGCAGGGATGGAGAGTAGTTTGCGCCGTGTGGACGCCTGCGCTCTGACTCACTCGGTGGGGATGCAGCTGAGCCGCGGGCTCCGTCTGTGCCCAGGGCAGAGACAGGCAGGCAAGGGGGCTCATGCCCAGCGGTGCCACCCCAGCCTGCAGCCCTCTGTTCACACGAGAGCTCCCTCTGCTGTCTCTATCTTCCCAGCTAAGTGCTCTAGAAGACTCTATCCCCTCACCTTGTTCTTCTTCCTCGTTCATGGCCTGTATTGAAAGGAACCTCGTTCGTCTGAGAGCCAAAGTGTCTGTAACTTGAGCTCTCTAAGTACCACACTTGCCTTGAGGTGGAAAGACCCACTCTTGAAACATCATAATGGATGCCTGGAAATCTGCAGTGGCTAGAAGCATTTAAAATGTTAATAACTTAACTGGCAACATTGTACATTTGTATCCTAGCAAGAATTCCCCAAGGAGGAAGTAAAAACATTGAAAAGAAAACATCACAGCCTGGATTTGTCCTTTATAATGATGATCACAGAAGCTCCTGTTCGAGTCGAGGCTATCCCGGTGATGGAGGGGCCAAGCAGAGAAGAAACTGCAGACAGTGTGGGTTTCACATATTAAATCTCAGTAAAATTTGAGCCATCACATCACACCCGTGCATTTTTATAAACTCTCCCCCGGTACCATAAACAAGGTTGTAACTCATCTTGGTGGAGCAGGTCTTGGCTGTAAGAAGGCTCTACTATGGAAAGAGAGGGTGGTGGTTCCTGGGACACCCTGTCTTTTGAAGCCGGTGTGCCGCTCCCTGCTGTCCACCCACCGAGTTACCGCACACTGGGGACACCCCCTTCAGCTGGTTACCCAAGACGTCTCTCTTGAGACTCAAGGCAGGCGAGCTGGGGCAGTGCCAGGAGCAGGGACCAGGCAGCGTCGACACATCTTCACATCCTTCCAGGTACCAGCTCTCGGCTCCGGGCATACGGCTTAGCCTCTCTGAGTCTTATCTGGAAAAGAAAGATAGAACATCCACCCTGCAGAAATGTTGTGAAGAGGAATAGGTTGATGTGCCAACATCACCTGGCACCCAAGGCTAGCTCATAGCTCAGTGGTTGTTCGCTGGG